AATGTGGACTGTAGAACGAGGTTGGAGCTACAGAGCATTTGTGGAGAGTGAATTCGATCCGATAATGGTGTACGAAATTGACTTTTCCCTACATCGACAGGAACTGACCAGTTTAGGCGCAATTCGAGAAATGCAAAAATCTACATTGCCAAAATGAATTTATATTAAATAAATATGACTTGGAGTCTGGGTGTATTTGAGCTGATCTGATCATCAAAAATCTCCTTATATAAGAAGTTATATAAAGAAGAAATAAGGAAAAAAGTTAAGAGAGGGGGCAGGTTGAAAAAATAATTGAGGAAGCTGGCGACTATGTAGAATAAATAAAATCAAGGAAAGAAATATGCAGGAATCGAGGGAACTAGAGGAAGCATTACTTTATTCTTTGATCAATACTATTAATTAGTTAAGGGAAGAAAGCAAAATTCATCTCCTATTACTGATTTATTGGTAGTCTCAAAACTCTACTTACATACGAAAAACTGGCTATAAGGAAGGAAAAATGAAGGAAATAAGAAGGTTAAGATTGAAGCAAGAAGTTGATATTTAAGAAGCTTTTGATTATTTATATTCCCGTATTTTACAAATACACCAAATTTTGCGGTGAGCTGCTCTGCTGGTACCACTTTGAATTGTGCTTTAGTATTTCCTATTAATCAATTTGCTTGAAAGCCCAATGAAGCAACCCACACATCATCAAATATTTACTAACCCTTATAGCTGTTGTCAAACAGGCCAACTCAAGCGGTGAGGTCGATGTTGTAAAAATCCTGAAAAATGGAGACACTTTTGGAGTAAGTATACATGAAATAATAAAAAGGTAAATATAATAATTACTATAGCCTAGTAAAATAGTGTGAACTAGACCAGGATTAGATTTATCCTTAATTGGCTCGACGTCCAATGCTTCCAACTGGAATCATCCATTGCAATGATGTCTCTTTCAGGAGCTTGCATTGCTTCAGGAGGGCCGTAGGCGCGCCACTGTCGTGAGCAAGACAAGAGTGCAATTGCTCACCATTGAGTGCGATCAGTTCAGACGGATCTTCATGTCGGAGGCTGGCGTGGCACCGCGGGACTCGGGCAAATTGCCAAATTTTATTGAATTCTTGAAGTAAGTATCAAGCCTAACATAGGACTTCATCACGACGAGGATAAGACATTATTTTATAGGCTAACTTTACAAGATAATGGCTCTCGGTTTACCAAATTTGCCAAAGTTTATTGAATTTTAAAAGTGAGTCTCAAGCCTACCTTTATGCATCATCACAGGAAGACTTGAACAATGTTTTTTAGATGCATATTATATGAAACTATTTTTTGGTTTATAAAAATTGAAAAAACTTTCAATAAATTCATGAATTAAGTCTTAAGCCTACAAAGATACCCGCACATTATTTTATATCAGACTGGTCGTTAGCTTACTCGAGACAGGGAAAATGAGTAAATCATAGGCCCATGGTAAAAAGCCCTTGAGATATGATGTAGACTGAATATCGTCGTAGGAAGGTTATCCGCCAGCCCATGATGGAATGAGCACCCGAAGACGGACGTCTAGTCTACCCCTTCCATGGCCGATATTTACATATACAGTTTTATTTCTACCTGATTTTCAGGATGCAACCGTTGATGATAGACTTTCCGATCAGCCGACTGATTGACAAACCTGAGCATTGTGTCGTTAATTTCTACGGGTAAACATAGTCAGTTTACAAATAGTTAATTTGTACAAAAATTGTATTTGCCTAAAGTATACTTTATTACAATATTATATGCTTACATGCATAGTTAACAGCTATAACGATAGTATGATTGCTAATGAAACGTAAGAATATAATCCAAATTAACGTAGGCTGAACTGCCGCGCAAAAGTTAGAGCTTTCCATCTTAACTATGAAATTAGATCCATGACTCTGAAATAAACTGGACATGAACCCTCGTATAGACCCAGTAAGCTCGTCCCTGACCTTCTCAATAGGAAGACTGCCGGCTAACCTACGCGGTGATGGTTGTTCTTAAAAATTGTGGGAAAAAACTGGGATTCGAAGACTCCATAATTGATGTGATGTCGCTTAAGTTTTCGATAGGAACTCTATTTTCTCTCTGTCGCATAAGGTGTCTAAGGTCTAAGAGTTGCATTTTCACATAGTCCTATGATTAGGCTCCAAGTTTTCACTGAACATTGCTTAGCACTGCTACCCAAAAGGTATTCTTGTTCAGGCTGGACTGCAGTTTAGAGCAGATCTGGCCTTCATCATCAGCAGCAACGGGACTAGAGCTCTGGTAGTTCAGGGTGTAACTTCAACATATTACCAAGACGTCACACTGCCACGAGTGCCTGTGGATAACGAGGCAGACGCGACTTTTACGACAAGCCAGGCCTCTCCCATGTCACACACGCAAATATTATTCATGATCCATTTATATTATCGAAATTATTTGGATATAAGTCACATTGTTGATTATAATGCTAAATTGCATTTGCCTCATCGAACTTTCCCCTATAATCGTAATCTAGGAAAGGACTTATTTGTCTTGAAAGTCACGTCTGCCCTCTGACCCACTGCGAAAATGTATTCTGATAGTAACATGTTGAAGTTGTGCCTTGCCCTATCCAGGTTCGACTCTCGTTGAGACTGCTGTTGAAACTGCTGTCACGTCCGGATAAAAATATTTTTTATTGCCAATGACTCAGTGGCATTGACGACATCGTGAAGCTCATTCATTTCATTCAGAAAAAATCCAACTATCAGCCCCATTTTTTATATACGTTTCTCTCATTCGGGATGTTGGTAGTTTTGAGAGTTGTGATTGACTCCGTTATTTTAGACTTTCATAGCCACATGAACACAAAACTCTGTAACACTCTGCTCTCGAGAAAGGGGCTAAAGTTCCCGAAAAGAGGGCATAAACAATGAAAGTGTTAGTGTTGGTTA